ATATTTCTTTGTCTTGGCACAGCTTTTACATTGTAAGGGTCAGAGCCTTAGGTATTGGCCGGGGCAGGGCAACCCATACTGCTGCATTGTGATGCTGTATATGGGTTGGGGAAGGGTCAGAAAGGGAATAATGCTGCTTGCCCAGCTTTCAGCCAGCTTTCAGTTATTTTCCCCACTACCCACAAGTAAACTGGGCTCTTCTGGTGCTGATTCCTGGGTAGGTGGTTTTGTGGGTTTGTGTACATTCTAGGACTCTGTGGATCTCTCCAATGAACTCTCCTGTGAGGCTGGGAGTTTCTCCTGCTCCTGCAAGCCCCATGAGTTTTTACAGCCAGAGGTTTTGAGGCTTTCTTTTCCCATGCTGGAATTCTGGGTTGCATGGTCTTTCTTGCTCCCCAGTTGTTCCTCCCAGTTTATCCACATGCAAATGTGGAATGCCTGATCCTCTAGCTGCAGCCTTGCTGTGTGTCCTTTCTGCCCTGGCTGCCTGTCTCTACCCTTCCTACCAGTCTGAATGAATTTTTCTTCTTTAACTCCTTGATTGTCAGCCTTCCATACAGTTTAATTTTCTATCATTTCTGGGGGGGGGGGGTATTTGTTTTTAAATTTGTTGTTCTTCTTTTGATTGTGCAAGAAGGCAAAGTGTATCTACCTATGCCTCCATCTTGGCTGGAAGTGACCCAGGGCTTTTTCAAATCTTCAACCATTCATTACTGTGTGAGAGGATCCAGGTTTGCACATAGTACAAGTCAAAGTCATGTGGGGTTAGAGAGAGGTAACTTCTTTTTAGAGAAGGGAAGGGAACTGATATTTACAAGGCCACCTTACTTCTATGCTGATGCTGAGTAGCATCTAATCCTCACAATAGCTCTATCCCACTCCAGAGTTTAGAAAACTAGGCTTCAATGAGGTTAAATGACTTTCCTAACAATTTACATCATTGGCATCACATCATTCTGTAGGATTTCTTAAGATACAAGGACCTCCATATTAGTTTCCTGAGATCTATGGAAAATCTAGGCCTTCCACCTTGTTCTCAAGGGCCTTACCTCTGAGGTCTGACCTCAGACTTGCCTCCTCTGGGCTCCTCTCCTTTGGATTCCTCCACCAGCTAGCTCTTCCTGCCTCCAGTCTGAGGCCAAGCTCTATCCAAAGGTATGGGTCATCTCCCCTCCCTACCCCACCTCTATCAAAGGCCTTTGGTTCCTGATGACTTGCTGTCTCATCATCCCCACCCCTATCACCCAGCCATCTCAGTGATATCAGCCATTGGAAACTCTTTCCTCTCAACTCCCCACCCTAGCACCTCCTCCTGAGCCCCCTCAAGGTCTGTTTTTCCAAATCATTTCTTGCAATTTTATGTGTGGGAATTAACTGTAAGAGTGTGAGATGGGATAGGTGGAGGATGGGAAAGGGAGAAAAATTTGGAGAACTGTAATAAAAGAACAATTTAAAAAATCTTTACAAATATAAATACTCAAATGAAAATCTCTAGGGTTGGAGCCAAAACATTAATATTTCTTGAAAAGTTTCCCCAGGAGATGTTGAGGTGCAGCCTGGGTTGGAAACTACACCTGAGATCAATTTGCCTGTCACTTCATTTCAGGAGAATAAGAAATTTTGCAACAGGGAAAGAACACTGAGTCCCATTTTTCTGTTCGTTTCTGTCAACCCTGAATCCTGCCCACCCTTCATGTCTGATAATGACTCATTGTTTATTGGAAAGAATGCTGTAGTCACACCTTTGGTGCAGGGAATGAGTCTTTAGAGCCCATTGACTCACCTGTTATCAGCTGATAAGCCTATGTCTCTTGCTCAGAGTATTAGATAAGAGACAGAATAGCTAAAAGAAAAACTTACCTCCATTAGGAGTAGTTTCTCTGGTTACCAGTATATGGAAAAGGATTAGAACCCAAGGTCATAAAATCTTCTACCTGGAACGGAGGTTCAGGTCACCACCATGTATCTCCATGGTCATTACTAGACATAGGGAGATTATAGCAATGGGTGGTGGAAAACATTTTCTCCTACTTCCTGGCATTTGTCTCCATTACAACTTGGGTTCTCAGAAGAACCTCCCAAGGGGTCCCTCAAAGCAAGGAAGACCTTGGTTCCTCCATCCAGGCTGAATTGTGGCTCTGATAATGGCCCCACAAGGTATAAACACTGTTGTGTTTTTTTCAACTGCAGGCTAAAAAAAAGAGGTAGGAGTAAGCTAGAAGGAGATGCCAAATATGAGAAGGAGCTCAATGTCAGGGTGGACCCCTGGTTCAAAGAAGGTGTCACTGCCCATCAGAAATCCAGAGGTCAAGAAAGAGCAGGAAAGAAATGAAGACTTCTCATGCAAACCTGACTAGCAGAGGAAAGAGCCTAAGTCAAGGCTGGCTGGGACAAACTGGCCAGGGTTCCAGTACCTGGGGGCTCCTATGGCACACCAGCACAACTCTTCACATCAGGCAAGCTCACAGTGCTGTCACCTCCCACCTGCCAGCATTACCACCCTTCCCATGTACCTCCTACAGAATCAGCAAAGGGTTTTGCAGAGTATTTGAGCTTTAAAATACTGATAAATGAATGAGTGACTTCATGGATGAGCATATGAGTGTGTTGTTTGACTATGAAAGTACACCAACATGTGCTGGATGAATATAGAAAGATGCAAATGAATATGCAAGTAGGTGACACATGCCTGCATTTGCCAATGAGGGAATGAGTGGGTGTTTGTTCCCAGTATCTTACAGCCCAGCAAAACCCATCAGGTAAGGCTTGGGAGGTCGCAGGTGACAGACACACTGGAGCTTTCCTATATTCGGAATGGATTCAAGGGCCACTCCAGGGCTCTTGTGAGTTCTCTTTGCCTTAGTGGGGGTCATCATGGCTCTACTATCAGAATTCAGTTTCAAGTCCAAGATGACACTGTTATCAGTATTTCCAGGAATGGTCAGATTGGAGGACCGATCAACCCCATAAACCAACACATTTCTGGAAATATGGTTGCTAATAGGACCAAGACTGATAATGGCTGCTTATAGAATTCTCTTCCCAGGAGAGAAGCAAAGATAAAATCAGAAGTTAATTTAGAGAAAAGAGAATCAGAACCTAATGAGTAGAGGTCAGTGGCACAAGCCTAGAGTAGCTGGATACCATCATCTCTATACAGGGAGATACCTGGGGGAAAAATAGCCTCCATTCCTCAGACACCGAAGAAGGCTTCTTCATGAATTCCACATGGTCTACATATCTTTTTTCATTGTAATTCACTGATTGATTATTCTTCTATCATGATAAATTGCTTTATGATACATACCTTAGAGTGAATATTGGCCATACTTGAGATGGAAATCTTCTGAAAGAGATTGGAGAGAATTCCCTCCCAGGACTCCCTTGTCTATAGAATCACATTTATAAATAATCTCCTGAGACAGGTTATTCCTCAGATTTTTTTTGAGAATATTCCTTTACATATTCTTAGCATCCATTTCAGAAGATGACATTTTATAGCCAGGTCTCCAAGTTTGGAGGATACATTCTGTTAGGAGAATACAGATCCCTGTACCTTGATGGCAGCCAGACCTCTGCTGGGTTTTCCAGGATAAGGTACCTCAAAGCAGTGCATGATGGTGAGAAAATAACTGTTTTGACAGTTCTGGGTCTGACTCCATCTCTCCTTTTCCCTTGCTCTGTGTCTTTGTGTAGGTTACTTAACCTCTGAGTCTCAATTTTTTTCAATTATAAAATAGGGGTAATAATATTACTTACATTGCAGGGCATTGGGTGTGGATTAAATTTTTTAATGTCTGGAAAAGCTCTTAACAACTTCCCATCAAAAGCAGAATTGCTATGACAACTAGAATAGGGTGTAACTTTCTCTTTTTTAGTACTTTCTATAAATATTTTTTATTTAGTTATTTTTCAAGTACAGTTTTCTGTCTATTTCTCCCATCCCAGCCCACCCCGCCCCATGCTCCCCACCTCCCTCCCATTTACGGTGTGTCTTTCTGCTTTGTGTCACACAGTTCTTCAGTCCTACTCTACTGCAACTCCTCGTGCTAGGGCTCATTTGTCTTCCTTTTGTAAGATTTAGTATGCTTGCAGCGGATATGGTCACTGACTGTCTTTCCCCACTTCAGTGGAAGCTCTATGAGGGCAAAGATCATGTCTGCCCTGTTAATTACTGTCACCCCATGCCTACTCATGGGGCTCAGTAGAAAACTGTGGAGATCAGTCAATGCACTTTAAGGGCACCTTAGAAAAACCACCTTGGATGTGTTTGGAGGGGATGTCACTACAGGAGAATCCCAGCAGGCCCTACAGCTTCCACTGACTGCTGGAAAGGAAACTCCTGGTAAACCATGGTCATGTTGAAAACCTGAGATCGATATAGTGTTGTTTATATGTACCCAAAACCTACAGCTCACCATGACCTTAGTAGTCCCTTTGGAAGGAGGCAAAAATATAGTACCCTTGTTAAATCACTTAGTGACCTTGCTTCATTTTTTGCTATAAATGAATACTGGGTTTTCCTAAACTGGACACAACTATAAAAACATTGAGAATATGTGGAAAGACTAGGGAAGCAGATGTTTGGGTTAGAAGTCAAAGCAACTCAGTTTTACTGTAAGATCTATCAATAATTTTTAATGTCACCTTAGTCATGCCATTACCCCTTCCTGGTTCCCAGAATATCAAGCTTTAAAATGAGTAAATGAAATAGATAAATTCCACTGGCCCTCCCAGCTGCAACTGTCCATAATTGTCTCATTCTACAGGCATTTCCATGCATGTTCTTCATCAATCAGAGGATTGCAAGTGATGGTTTTGAAATTCCCACAATTCCATCTCCCTTTTAACTAGGTTCATGTCACAGTGTATGGACTTGCTGTTTCTCAGGAGTTTGGTGCTTGTTGGTTGTGGTTACCTGGTTTTATTAAACCAGGGCCTGATCAATCACGCCGAGATGACGTTGTCTGTCTGCTTGTATCTTGCCCCTTGTCCCACAGCCATGCTGCAGGCGGTGCGAGCCTTGATGATTGTGGGCATCATCCTGGGTGCCATCAGCCTCCTGATATCCATCTTTGCCCTGAAGTGCATCCGCATTGGCAGCATGGAGGACTCTGCCAAAGCCAAAATGACACTGACCTCTGGAATCATGTTTATTATCTCAGGTAAACTAGGGCCTGGGGGTTCTGCTTGTCAAACATGCTTCTGGGAATGTCAAAGCAAAATTATTCTAGCAAAGGAAACACAGCTTCTCCCTGCCGAGTGTGGTTTGAACATAGTTCAAAGCTTTTTCTACTGAGATTCGAGATCTGAGTTTAAAGCCCAGTGACACTCTACAGAATTATCATGAGTGCTAAGGTCCCTCTTAGCTGCCACCCAAGTCCCATTACAAGAGATTTCCAACCTTAAGGTAGTCATGTGACTCAACCCTTAAAGGCATAATTTTGGTAAGATTCTAGAAAATGATTTAAGGGATGAACTCTTGACATTGTCAGAGAAACAAACCCCAAATATTTGTACTTTAACCATTGGTCCCAAAATGCATGGAAAATCTCTTTGTACACATATACAAGCCCCTCCACATTTAGAGAGAGAAAAGAGCCTACGTACCTAGCATGATGTCTAGTGCATAGTGGGAATGCAATAATCAACGCTCATAGGAATGGAATGCTCTGTGGCCTGCTCATCTAAACTTCTTTAAATATACATTGCCTCAGAAACACTGTGATCCCTTAAAAGCTGACGCCAGAGTTTTCTTTTTCTTGGTCTGCAGGTCTCTGTGTAATTGCAGGAGTGTCTGTGTTTGCCAACATGCTGGTTACTAACTTCTGGATGTCTACAGCTAACTCATACACTGGCCTCGGGGGGATGGTGCAGACTGTTCAAACCAGGTAACCTCCTAATCTGGGTCTCAGACTTCCATGGGGAATATTGTTGTAAAAATCTGATTAGACGCATATGCCTAATGTGACTGTCAATGTCTGGAACAGCAAAGATTTATCAGAGACAGCCATGCCATATTGTAAATCAACAATGATCTGTAAATTCATAACCTTCATTTCAGTGAAATATCCTTGGTGATATGAGTTGAGGCTGATCTGACATTTGCATTGAAATACAGCAACAGTTCTCGGTATTTATCTAACACTCTTACACAGGCCCCATTGTGGTAGCAATGAAAACAGGCACTATTAACTGAGGCATGCAAATGAGCATCAACCCGCATCTTTGGTCCATGATGGGAACCTGGCTAGGGACAGGTAAAAGCTTGAATAAAAATGAGCAAGATGCAGCATAAGTGCAAGATGCAGTAAAGTAACATTTCATCCTCATTTGACTTGACTCTTTCATTCATTAATTCATTCTTTCTACAAATGTATTGAGCACCTATTATGGGCTAGGAACTGTTCTGAGTGCTGGGGATAAAGACAAGTTCCCCCTTCTCACGGAAGTTATGCTGTAGCAGAGGGAGATGAAACTTCACTATAATTTGGTGTCTGAAGGAGGGCAGAACTTTTAAAAGATGGAAAAGCAATTCTAACGTGTATTTATTTAGCCACTTCAAAGGGACATTTCTCATAGCAAGAAGCAGCAGCAAAGTCCTGAAGGAAAAAGACCTTGTTCTGAAAGAGCAATATGAATATTATAGCTAAGTGACCCATCATCTATGTGGTAAATATACTTGGTATTTCTCCAGCCACACCATCATGAGATGCAGGCAGGGTACAAGGACAAGGTAAACCCATTTACTCTCTGGTTCCCTGGAACTCCTGTCCCCATTCACCTTTCTGCTTTGCTTCAAGAATGGGAAGGAAGTGATCCCTGTAGTTGCCCTAATTCACCTCCACGGTGCTCCCATGTACTCTGGGTTACAAGAGCAACTTAGAAATAAGCTGGGACATGCCCGGTGTTGGCATAGAAAGTCCCATTTCCTATAAACCTTTTCTGTCACAGGCAAATTGGAAGGGCCCACCTTGTCCAAAGTTTCTATGTGCCTAGTGTCACTGTCCCTGCCCTGAGGAGCCACCTACCACCCACCTGACACCCAGTGCTAGGTGGCCATCTCCCTCTCACACCATCTCCCTAGAACTTGCCCTTCTCCCTTGGGCGTCCACCTTCAGTCCTGAGATTGATACTGGAGGATTCTAATGGCCTCCCTGAACTTTGCCCCCATGGATGGGCAGTATTTTTTCTGTGTCTTTTTATCTTCTCTGCACAGACAGCACAGCTGCCAACAAAGACCTAGGCAGTCAATTGATGGGGTTTTGATTCTGGTGCCTTATTTAGTCCCCTCTTCCTGTCCCCCAACTCTGCCATTATCGCTTTGTGTCTGACACTGGCGGAGCCTAAGCCCTGGACCAGAGCTACAAACTGCCCTTTCCCTGTACACATCTTGCAAGGTATTAGCCTAAATGTCTCATTTTATAACCTGAATTAATTACCTACTTTCTAAAATTAAAAGTGTCTCAGGTTGGGTTACTCAGAAACGGATCATGAGAAACAGATCCTGAGAATCCATGTATGAGTGACTTATTAAGGATGGGAGACAGGGTAGGGAGTGGGCAAGCAGGATAGGAAAGGGGGATATCAGATGAAGTCTTGGACTCAGCCTGATCCCAGGAAGCTGTGGGGTCTTTCACGCTTCAGCGCCGTCAGCCTCTGTGCAGGTGGGGAAAGTGACTGCAGCAGCTGAACCAAAGCCAGAACTCCAGGGAGAGTCACAGGGACAGGATGGCACAGGCAAACGAACACAGGAGGTGGGGGGTGACACACTGAAATGGCTAAAGAAACAGAGGGGACCTGGGCAGAGCACCATTGTACCTGCTGGACAAATTTCATGTGTATTTATTTAGCCACTCAGATTTCATAATAGACACACACACTCACACACACATCGTTTTTGTTTTCACTTTCTTATAAAAAGAAAAATCAGATCTGGCAGCACTGGACCCTCATTCCTTATGGCAAGAATCTGCAGCTGAGAGGCAGCTGCCCTTTGACCAGGGCTCACACTCTCTGGTTGCCACAGTCCCCACACCACTCAAGTGCTCAACTCTGAGGTCATTTATCATCATGTCTATGGTCTCCCCCTACCCCCATATAATAGAGTTAAGAGAGTGAAATATTTCCTTCCATGCAGCCCGCGTTACTTATTTAAGTCTCTTACCCGTCCAAGGTAGGTACATAAGTTTGCTAACCTTGGTCAAGAGTGTCTAAGTTGAGGGAGAGAACCTCACTCCTCACGCACATAGGACAGTATAGTTGAATGATTAACAGTGAAAGCTTTGGTGGTAGAGTGACCTGCATGTGAATCCTGGCAATGCCATGTCCTTCCAGGTCTTTGGAAAAGTTAATTAGCCTATCGAGACTCAGTTTCCTCATCTGTAAGATGGTCCCATCAATTTAGTTCTTTATGGAGACAATATTCTCCCTGCAGGGATGGGGGCCAGGATTAATGGAGGTGGGTGAAATGAATGTTTCTTGGCCCATGGTGAGAACTCAAGGGACCAAAATTCCTTCAGAAATAATAACTCAATACTGATTCTCTCAAACCTCTCTGGTTAAATCATCATTATACTCCCCTTTGGTGACAGGGAGGGAAAGGAGACTTCCTGAGATATTTCTCTGAGATTAGAGATCTATAATTAGCCCTATGCCTCAGTGATCTAAGAAGTCCAAGAATCTCCCTGCTGTTTTGCTGGCTAACCTCAGTGCCAGTGCTGTTCTCCAGGGCTCCTGTTCACTTGCTGGTGGCCCAAAGGTGTGTGTGTTCCAGGGGCGTGGGCAGGGACAGGTGTGGAATCCAAAGGGGGAAACAGGACAGGCATGGTCTAGTGCAGTGGGTGGAACCTGGAGAGGTGAGTTGACCACATTCATAACCATCATCTCCCCACTCAGGTACACCTTTGGTTCAGCTCTGTTCGTGGGCTGGGTCGCTGGAGGCCTCACACTCATTGGGGGCGTGGTGATGTGTATCGCCTGCAGGGGCCTGGTGCCTGAAGAAAGCAAGTGAGTCTCCCCAACCCAACGCAATCAGACATTTCATCTGAGTCTATTTTAACATATAATTTGCAGCCAGGAGGATCGGTCTGGGCATATGGAATAACATTGTTGAGGATGAACTTTCTCTTTTATGAGGAACAGATAAAACAGAACAGGAATATTTCCTCCTGAGCAGATTTAGGTGTGATCCTATTTGAAGGGGACAAAAACGTCCCTGGGGTCCCTCTAGCTCCGATATTCTGTAACTCAGTGGCTCTCAGCTGGTAGCAATTCTTCCCCCAGAGAATGTTTGGCAACATGTGAAGATACTTTGATTGTTACATCTTTGGAGGCGGCAGATAGGTGATACTAACATCTAGAGTGTGGAAGCCAGGGATGTTGCTAAACATCCTACAATGCACAGGCAGGCCCACACAACAAAGAAGCATTCGTCCCAAATGCCAATAGTACTGCTGTTGAGAAACTTTGCTGTAACGCCATATATGTGCCCAGAGATGGCAGACCTGGATTGCAGGCTGGTTCTACTGCTAATTAGAGCCCTGCGACCACTAGAAAATCATTTGCCCTTTCTGGACCTCTGTTACCTCGTCCATCAACTGAGCAGATTGGAGGACAGGGCTGCACATAGACGGCTCCCAATTCTGTGATTCCTCGGCGTACCACATGCCCCTGGGCATTGTTTCTGGTTCAGCTTCACTTTAACTGATTAACAAAGGGAATTCACCAGTCAGTAACTACCAGCTTTAATACAAAGCAAGAAATTCTGCTCCACTGCAGAGGTCCAAAAACCAGTGTTCCGAAACGGAGAATGACCATGTCTCGCAGTTTGCCCAGGTGGAAGGGTTTCCTGGGCTACTGGACGTTCAGTGCTAACCCTGAGACACTCCAGGGTAAGTGAGGTGCTTTGTCCTCCTACCAAATACATCCATGGTCATGTAATGTTTCTTTTTCTTTCAGCTACAAAGCCGTGTCTTATCATGCCTCAGGCCATAACGTCGCCTACAGGACCGGAGGCTTCAAGGCTAGCACTGGCTTTGGGTCCAACACCAAAAACAAGAAGATATACGATGGGGGCGCCCACACAGAGGACGAGGGACAATCTCATCCTTCCAAGTATGACTACGTGTAGCACTCCAAGACACCTCGGCATGGGCAGAAGAAAACCCCAATTAGAGCTCACCCCCAAACGAAGAACGTTTTACCTTGATCCCTGATTGCTTTTGACTCTCCAATGAAGTTAGAAAAGCCTACATTTCACCTACGGTGAGGCCAGATGGTTTTAGCCAAATGTCTGTGTCTCTAAATGTTCCATCACAAAACAGCTGAGCTATCAGATATGATGTAGACTAAGGCTGTAGCTCACATTATGTGATCCTATGTTTCTTTTTTTTTAATATAACCTTCCTAATCTGATGATAGAATGTGGTTTGAATTCCTATTAGACACTCGAATGATTTAGATAGACTCTCCCTCCTCATCCTAACCAATATCTCATTGATTCTGTATTTCTCAACTCATCCCCCAGAACAAATCTGAAAGGGAAAAAAGAAAGTCTGTCAAAAAACATCATTTCCTGCCATTTGATTTTTGCCTCCCCTTGGCCCAACTTGGCTACTAATAAACACTGATTGAAGAGGTGATGGGGGAAATTATTTGTAATGTCTCTAGCTTATTATCCAAGTTTTCTTAGGCTGTGATCTTAAATGTTACCTGGACCAAAGTGATTTCGGGGTGAAGAAACCAAGACTTTTCATAATTTTGCAGGGGGTTGGGAGCATCTGTTAATTCCAGCAGGACTCTCCCAAGGGTTTCCTGACCTCCCCACTATGTCCCCGTTCTGTCACAGGCCAAAAGGTATCCTTAGAAGAATGAGAAGAGGATTTTTGGTACTCTAAATATATTTTGTATTCTACATAGAGCTAGAATAAATAATGTCTTAGTAAAATGATACACTGTCTCTGTGAATTCGCCTCATTCCTACACATAGAAAGAAGAAAATGAAAAACTAATTGCTTTGATGTTGTCTATATTTTCCAGTGTAAAAAGTCATACTTAAGTTCAAATTTCATAAAATGCTCATTGGTCCTAATTCCCTTTGAAGTCTCCAGGACTTGGATTATAATGATAGAGCCAATGTAACCCATGTAAAAACCAAACGGTGGAACACAACGGGTCCTTGGAAGTGAGGTGAAACTAGTTATTTTTCTGAAAAGTGATGAGCCTGAACTCATTGTTAGGTATCCAAGTGCTACATGTCCACACTCTCGAGGCCACGGGCCACTGCCAGATGACAGCAGATGTGCTTGGCACTGTGGTGACATTTGTCACTCTGAGAGCAGTTCTTGTCACTGAATTCACCTGGTGTGGTGAGACCACTGAGTGTTTAAGAACAGGAAGCTCTCTGCAGCCACGCACCTTCCCGGCGTTTACATCACTGCTGCAGAAAGCCTGACTCCTCCCAGGCCACCAGAATCCCATCCCAGCACCAGAGCCAGAACAGGCCCCCCAGAAAACTGAGGTATTTGGAGGGTGGGAGGAGGGATCTGACCACTGAATTATTGTTTGGCAGACGGAAATGTCCTCGCGCCAATAGATCACGTACAAGCGACCCCCAAGGAGATGGGTGAATATTCATAGGAATCTTAAGGCTGCACAGACTACATCTGAGGAAAGGCCAGCTCGTGGCCCATTGAACAGAAAGGAATTGTGTCGATCGAGAGAGAAAACAGTAAACTCAGAGACCCTTCTCACTGAGACAGCAATGGTTTTAGGCCCCATCAAACAGAGTACACACGGAACTCACTGTCAAAGATAGGGTAATGAAGAACACTAAAACAATTCAAGAAGAAATGTTGGGGTGAAGAAGCTGAACAATCTAGGGCTTGGAGACTGTAAAGTGTCCTCAGCAATTGAGCTGAAGGCCTGGAGGCACAGTGATCTTTCCCTCCCACCACCAGAAAGTCCCTGGTCGGGCCTGAGGCACTGAGATGTGGCTCAGTTGGGTTTTTAATGAGCACATTCTCCAGCCAACACTTAATTGTTTAAAAGTCTCCATGTAGTTAGATTGTGCTTTGTAATTATTTTTTGTTCGTGTCTCTTATTGTATATGCATTGAATATTGGCCTGCATGGATTTGTTACTTAAATATTAAAAATGCTTATGTCACATTTGAACAGCTTCTGTTCTTTGTTTCTAAGCTTCAGGAAGTGAAGGTGGGAGTCTCAGAGCTGAGTGCGTCTTCCTGGAGTGCCTCTGCAGGCTCTGAAAGTCTTGCATGCCAGGAAACCCCTCCGCCCCCAGCACTCTAGGAGATCTGGTCATCCTGTGCCAAGGCTGCATAGCTCACAGGAGAACATTCCAGAAAGGGTGGGTCTGGCTCCACACCTCACTCTCTGTCCAACATGCCAGAAGGAATTCCCCTGAACAGGCAAAATACACATATACAAACAGAGGAAGGAAGGAGGGGGAGAAGAACAAAGGGAGAACGAAAGGAAGGAGTAAATTTACTTAAACAAAAAATTTTTGCTTAGTAAGCCAAGAGGCATAATACTTAAAATAATGTTCAACTATAAAATTTCAATCTTTAATCCTCAAGTTTTAAAAAAATGTCAAATGAGCAAATCTATTGTAAATGATGAACAGACAGAGGGCAAGGATGAGAGAGAACATCAGGCTAGCTTTTCCTGCTGAGCTGACACATTCAGCCTCTGCAAAGCTCTCAGGATGCTGTGCAGCCTATGTGCACTTTTAAGGGATTCCAGGCTAAAGAGGACTGGGGTATGATGCCCCTCCGGAAGGGTAGGGAAAGGCCCAGGGCCTCCGAATTGCACTCTCTGCAAATGAAATCCCTGATCCCTCCAGTGGCAGCAGCCAAAAGCCACCCAAATTTTACTGAGATTGGGTTTGGGCTGAGGTTCATTTTAAGTCAGCCTTAATCTTAGGCTGGAGCCCCCAGTACTATCTGGGACCCGAGTCGGTTTCCACCACCATTAAGAGTTTTCCCATTCCTTTCTTGTCTCAAGTGGAACTGGATGTGACGTGCTCACTCTGGTCTCAGGTCGTTGACCAGTCCAGGCTTTCCCTGTTATCAGGGCTGCTGCCCTTAACCTTTGTTGACAATAAAAAACTTATTTATTTTGTTCAAGAAGCCAACTTGAATTTCCCCAAAGAATTTTCGAAAGGTAAAACATCAAACATATTAAGCACTGGGACTTTGCCACCCATACTTATTGCCCCAAGGAGGACTGTTGCCATGGCAATGGCTCAGTAAGGAGAACGGAGCTTGGCTGAAGGGTGAATTAAATACCATCGTGGAGCACAGGCCACCCAGCCATCCAGCCCCTTATGATACTTGGAATGTTTACCCAAGTCTTAGGAGTTAAGTCATAATTAAGAGAGAGTGAGAGAAACAAAAATGTCCCACTGCAAACAAACATGTTGAGGGATGGGGTAGGAGGTCAGAATGTGGGTAAAGATGTTCTGAAAGTCAACTGTGAGTGTCTGTGGCAGTATCTTTTCCTGAGGGCTGGCAGAAACCTTCCACCCTAGCTTTTGTGTGGACAGACCAGTCCCATCCCTCTGCAAAGGGGCACAGCCAATGGAGCCGACAGAACTCAGTGAAGCATTCGCCAGAGAGCTGGTGTCAGAATGACCCTTGCAGCCTCTTTGGCAACATACTCCAAGACTCTACATGTTCATTCTCTGTGATCCTGGAGTCCCAGTCCTGGGAATCAGCCCAAGGGATATCATTCTGGCTCTTAAAAAAAAAACCCTCTGGTTCCATGGCTAAGAAAACTGTCAGCTGAAGAATGGTGTGTGGAAAATGTGAAAAGGAACTAGGCACTGTTATCACTCCAGCTACATGTTTCCCAGGTGCAAGGAATCCCACAGAAAGTGGCTGTGACTTCTTAAAAAACAAAATTTAATCCATATGGAACAAATAACTTCTCCACTTGCAGAATAAAAGTTCTTTGCACTGGCTGGGTTCTCATCACTGCCAGGTCTGTGCCTACAAAAAGAGTATGTGTGCAATATGTGAAAAAAAGGCTTTAAATAGCAAAACTACCAGCAAACATATTGCATTGGTGAAATTTCTGGCTTTCTGTATAATTTGATTTTCCGGGCTTTTCAAGTCATAATACAGATGTCCAAGTTACAGAATAACATTTTAAGACAAATAATTAACTTTAAACCCAGGAAGTTGATGGGTTTTTATTCTTTTGCCCTTAAGAAGTTCTGAACAGCACAATGTAATCAGTCTTCTGCCTGAAGTTGTTTTTTTTTCCCCCTTACAGTCATTTTATTGACCTGGAATATGTGGCAAATTTAACTTTTTATTTAACACTATTTATATAATTTTATTATCCTTTCCCTCAGGTTTACTTATATATATTGTAAATGTGAGAAGGAGGTTGATATTTTGCATTAAACTTGGCATCTAGACGTAAAATCCTTGCCTCAGTCCCTTGTTGGTTGCATAGTTCTGAGAATCAGCAGTGCCTTGATTAACTGCAGTTCCACAGAGCATTTATCTGAGACCATTATCGCTAAATGGTTCCTAAGTAATTAGCCCAGGCCCAAATCAAACACAAGTTGTGTTTGTAATTTTTCATTTGTTTTTGAAGCCAAAATGCCAGTACCTTTTACATGAGAACGAGAACACAAGGAACACCCCACAGAGGTGCAAATGAATCACTGGACTTCAGAAAAACACATATTTCACACAGTACCTTGATTCAAACCATCGCAAAAAGATGGGAGAACAGTGTTCATTCATGATGATATGTAACATAAATGAATCTCCACTCTTTGAAAAAGCTCTTATAAGCAGAAACCAAACCTTTTTTAAAAATCTCCTTCCCTTCTTCACTAAGTAAATAAATGAATAAATACAACAAAGGGGGAAAGGCTGTGAGCACAAAGAAGTTCAGCGCAGAGTTTTTAGTTCTGTAAAACTGGAAAAAGGAAAAAGGACCTTAATCCTAACAGCAAGGGGGAAGTTACAATATGGTGCAGCAGCATAATGAAATATACTGCAGAAATGTCCAAAATTTTTCACAACAGATGGAGAATCTCTCATTACTTCATGTTATAAATAAAGGTCAGATCCATCATTGTAAATACAATATGATCTGAATTGTGGGGAAAACACACAGTAATCTGGAAGGAAATGCATCAAATTGTTAACAGTTCCTGGCTTTAAGTGCTGAGATTGGGTTAAGTTTGTTTTCTTCCAGTCTGTTTTTCTAAATTTTCTATAATGGGCATGTAATTTTTATTTTTGCAATCACAAACTTTTTGAAAGACACAACACATGTTTTCTTACCTCACAGGCACTCCCAAACCTCCTTGCTCCTGCCTTCTTCTACTGTAGAATCTGAAAAAGCTTAAATGGCCACTTTTCCAGCCACCTTGTTTTAGCAAAGGCACAAGGCACAACTCCAGCCAATGAGATGTGAGTAGAAGTCAGATCCCCTGGCCTTTACCCTTCCTCCCTCTTCTTGTCTAGAATGTAAACACAGTGAGTGATGGTTGCTGCAGCAAGCACCTAGGAGCCAAACTGGAAAAGCCAAGGGAATCGCAGATCCTGGCTATGGCAATGTCAGGTGCTGAACAAAGGCCAGCAGCTGCCAGTTGTTGAGACAGTAGAAAGTGTTGAAGAAAGCTGTGTGGCAGCAAGGCCAAGAACATAAGTTCTCAACCATTATCACATGGAGAGATTTTGTAAATATAAAAATTATAAAGCATGTGAGAAAAACAAGTCATGAGAAGGCAGTCACCAGATGCAACAACCAAGAGAAATCACATCTCCGGATCTAATGGAAAAACATAAGAGACTGTAAAATAAATGCACTTTAAATATTTCTCAAGGAGAATTGAAGAAGAAAGAATAGGTGGTATTTTTAAATGAATCAAATGAAATGCTGAAGATGGAAAATATACTCAGTGATAGAAGAATCATAGTTAAGTTAAATAGTGGACTAGACACAGCATTGGAGACTTAGAAGAACAAGTAAAGAAAATGACACAACACACACAAAAAAAGGAGTATAATGCCTGAAAAAGACTTTAGCTACATGGCACATGGGATGGGGAACTTTAATGTGCACTTGATTCAATTTTTAAAAAGAAGAACAGTCAGCATGGAGGAGAGGAAATACCACTAGAACTGAAGAAAGACATAAGTTTTGGTGCTGAAAACACAGTTTTTCCTGATGAAAAGAAGCAAAGAGGAAAAGCAAAATAAGCAAAGAGGAAAATCATTTATTACAAGCCCATGGTAATGAGAATGACATTAGCACCAAAAAATGCCAGAAAACTCTGTAATCATATCTTCAAAGTTCAGAGGGAAAACAATGTCAAACTACAATTTTATACCCAGTTAAACCATTATTACAAATTATGGGCAAGATAAAGAGTAGCAACTATGATCAAGGCTTTCAAGGAACCAACATAAAAGATACTGGCAGTTTTAGCTGTCACTGTTCTCCAGAGATTGCGTGAGCCACTCAGGATACTTCCAGTGAAAAAGAATCAAGTCTGAGGAACTAGAGATCCTATGGATCCTATTGAGTAGGGGAATCCCAGGCAAATGCCAGTGAGGATTTTATCTAGACAGTCAAGAACAAGTGGACCTTGAAGAGCCATCATCAGCTTAGCATGGCAGCCAGCTCTTTATCCCTCTGGAATTCCTTCAGTAGTTTGAGAACTGCAAAGATACACATAGTAGGCATGCAGAGGGCACAGTGTAAACCTACACTGTGCTTACCCTGGAATGCAAACATGTCTTTTTGTATGGAGTGTCATAAAACCCATTCCATGATTCTGGCTTTCTCTACCTTCTGCTTACTCATCAACTAAAAATGGTTTTCCTACCAGACTCAACTGTATGAATTTTTAGTTCAGTATAAACTACAAACAAAGCATAATCTATGTTTCTCTGGTTTGAATTCTCAAGAGAGACTGATTGACCATTAGCCAGAGAAAAATTGTCATTCCTCTGTGAAGGGTCTGCCTCTGATCCTATCAGTTCTGTCCTTGCAGAGCAGAAACTGCTGACTTGCCTACTCTACAACCTTTCTGCTACTACTACTTTTTTTTATTAAGAAATGTATCCACCTCTCACTCCTATGGCCCTATCCCTAGCCCAGGAGTATATTCTGTTGGTGTAAGT